AGCTATGAGCTGTCAAATCGGGGCGAGATTCTAGGCCCAGAATCCCGCCAAACGAGGCCTGTGCGTCTGCGTTGCTTGAACTTCCGAACGCAGAGTTCAACCCTGCGTTTTAATGTTTTAGCACAAAGAAATTTACATGTGCGTCTGCATTAATTGAGATCCTGAACGCAGAATTCAACTCTGCATTTCAATTCGATAACACATGAAATCTACCTATGTGTTCTAACTCAACCAAACGAATTCCTCTATGTTTAAAGCCAAGACATGGTTCCAAATAAATAGAGGGAGTCTGATGTCAGCTGTCAAGGTGACTAAGGCCGAGAAGAAACAGACAACTCCACTGTGGAGTCTATTGGATGGGTACAGGCAGATTATAATCAGCAACACGAAAGCCGATTCGACCCAGCGCGCAAACCATTCTTCTAAGTGGCTTAACATTCCAACAAAGAGTAAGTTGAGCTGATCAAGAAAAGAAATAGAGTAAGAATCTTCTGAGGCTGTCCTCCTAACCACATTTAGGATAAAGTTCCTCCCATGTGGGCTTGCGATTCTCCCTGTCTATGACAATGGATCTGTCTTAAGCCCAGAATTACTCGATCTCACGAAAGACAACCTCGCTGACAAGTTTGCAGATGGTGTTTCTATAGTTGCTTCGCTATTCTTCACACTCTCTTACCCAACTCTTGCAGCTGCGCCTTACATGTTCGTCAATGCCTACAAGAACGTCCTTGTTGTTGCTGTTATCTCTGTTGTATCTGTTGAGAACGCTACTGCTGGAAAAAGGACGAGCCTGTCGGCGAGTCAGACGATGACTTGGGCTTTAGTTTGTTTGACTAAGTTCGTTGTTATCAAGACTCAAAAGCTATCTTGTTTGGTTCGAGGAAACAGGATTTCAGTATTCCAACAACCAGGTTCGCAATATCCTCAAATCAGACGAAGTGATCAATCAACTAAATTTTTGGGATCCAAAGTATTCCAAAAATTCATCCCAGTCAACCGCGAACTTTCAAAAACTTTAGAGGGGGTTCTGTAGGCTGTCTAAAAATCATAATGGATAGCTAATCCCTATTAAGCCCCGACAATGGAAGTTACAATCAGACAACTTTCTAACCACTGCATCCGTAACTCTACAACCGCTATGAACACGACCCCATCTCTGAGATGATTTATCTTGATGGCTGCGACAACAGCATGACTAATATTATATTAGCAATTATTAGAGATGCTGATGAGCAGTGTAATGATTTCAGAAATAAAAGGTTGGACCTAGCTGGTGAGTTGCTTGGTAGAGAGCTGTGGGCAAATATTCGTCTAAAAATCACTATGGATGATTGATTCCCGTCAAGTTTCAACAATGAAAGCTACAATCAAATAGCTTTCGTGCCGACAAACGAAGGATACAAATAGGAGACTTTTCACACAGATCGAGAAGAGTTACAATTCAACGACGCTTCCGACAGCTGACGAAAACTCTATTCAGTGACCTTCACAATCTACAGTGAGAGTTACAATCTGACGACTCTCATATCCTATAACAGGCAAAGATCAATAAGCAGTAACCTTTGCAGTGCTATAATGGACGAGGTTACAAGTCAGCAACATCTCTCAAACGCAGAACTCACTTCTGCGTTTCTCAAATTCAAAACGCAAGGTCCACATCTGCGTTTCCCAAATTCAAAACGCAGACGAACGGTGTGTTCTCCAACAGACGTCCAACTCTGCAACGCAGAGTTAAAACACAAAACGCACGAACTGTGCGTTCTTCGGCAAACACTCAACACTGCGTCCCAAATCCAGGATGCAGAGTTGAGAACTCGACACACGAGCGACCTGTGCGTCTCAAATCTCTAACAGAGATTTAACTCTGCGTCTCAAGCCTTGGACGCAGAGTTAAGACCCAGAACGCCAACTGGGGCTTTTTGACTTGTTCAAACACAAGCCGAACGGCCTCAAAACCGTTATCCCACGTTCTGAGGGATTTTCGCCCACTTAGGAGCGGATTTAGGGGTTGGTTACACCCCTAATCCCCCTATAAATAACCGAAGGGGTTGACGTGTGCTGGCACCAAAACCGCTTAAGGTTAGTAAATCTCAGTAGCTAAACTGCACGGAGGAGGAGATCTCTCTGAAGATCAACAAACTACCTAGTCGGTAGTCCATCAAATCAAAGGGGATCCCTTCATCAGTGGCAAATCAACTTGGCTATTAACCGGATCTTCGGTTCTAACAACTCTGTTACAGAGTTTCAACTCGCTCGGAGTTCTGAAACTCATTTAAGAGTTCGTAATTAAGCTTGCAACGTAAGTTAATTACATCAAACCAGTTATTCGGTTCTCAACAACTCTCTTCAGAGTTTTCAACTCGTCCTGAGTTCATTAAACTTGTTAAGAGTTCTAAACCGAATTCATCACACAAGTCAATTATTCCCGTGAGATAGGACGGTCGGATCGTCAATGGAGAGCAAGTTCGACACAAGCAATCGAAGGAGGCACTCCATCGCTACCAAGAAGAACCCAGTTTTAAACAAAGGGGAGAATCAAATTCATTCTCCTCTCTTTTGTAATCGGAATCCAAATTGTAATTGATTTTGAGAGAAATACAAGTCAATTTTTCTTTCATTGTCTTTTTACTACAAATTTCCAACAAACAGTCCCAAGTCTACAATCAAAGTGTGTAGAAACCAACTCCATGTATCTTGAGCAAGGCCAAGTCTTTTGGCCTATAAGCTATAGGACCACTAATAGTAACACCATAATCTCTCTACACCATTTTAAATGAAAGCTGACAATTTCCAATTAGGTTCACCTCTCCAATTGTCTTGATATCTTCCAATTAACCATTCAACTGATACCTTATTAATTTTACTTTTCAGACCACCACAATTTTGATGTTGCAACCTCGTTGATTTGATTTGAAAGGTGGTCTCACCTCTTAATCTTATGGCATGAATTTTAAATCTACATACATCAACACAACCACAATGACATTTTAATTTTCTCCTATGTTTGAAATTATCTACACATTTGCATCTATTTTTGTAGAAAATTGTTACTCTCTTATTGTCATCATGCAAGTAGTAAAAATCAAAGTTTTTTGGTATTGCATACAACTTGAGATCTTTTCTAAGGATCTCATTGGTTGCAAACCTAAGCTCTAAATTTAATTTAATTGGCTTATTCAAATCAGTCTCAGGATTAAACTCAAGATATGTGCATTCCTTCTCATCAGAGCCATACAAAGAGTTTAGCTCCTCTATGTTGCAATCATAATCTTCAGCCATATCATGTAAGTCTTCTATATTTTCAAAACCATGTGCACTAGTAGTTTCTTAATTTTTTTCATTTGCAATCTCAGACTCTTAAGTGATAAGGCTCGCATTCACCATTACCATCATCATAATCACCTTCAGAAACCTCAAAATCACTACCATCATCATCATCATCACCACCACCTTCATTCTCCACATTTACATCTACACAACCATCTCCATCAATCTCAAATTAGCAGAATTATTGTCATTTACAGGTTGTGAATTTTTATTATCCTTGTTAAGTGGTGGATCGTTTTGATTGGCCATTCTCCTTTCAGAAACTTCCCCCATGGTGATACTCAACAGTAAAAAATCCATATGCAGACATCTTGAAATTAAACAACGTTAAATTTACATTAATCATATAAACCAATCTTTAATTAAGTAAATAACTAATTACAACAACAAGAAGTCTAATTTACCCAAATTTCAAATTGCTAAACCCCTAATTTTCCCTAAGCCCTTACAATTCACAACTAACCCGTGCCTTAATTTTCAAATTAACAGATCTAGATGATGTACACAACACCAAAACACACATGCCATGTTGAATTTTGTATTCAACATACGTTCATACGAGAGTAGTCTCCACAATGTCAAGGTGGAGGCCCCTCTTGCCTTGAATTTGCTTTTCCACCACTCGATGATGAAGAAGCCCCACAAGTACAGTGACAAAGATTCAATTTTGAGGTTAATCGAGAGAGTAATAGGGATCAAAAATTTGTTTACTGGCAACGAGGTTAGGGATGAGAGAAACAATTTTTTTTTTTTTTTTTTTTTTTGGGGGGGGGGGGGGGGGGGGTGCTTCCAACAGCACATTTGCTATATCCACTCCCAAACAGTAACTTTGGGAGTGGGATTGCCGAAAATACCCTTTTGTGTGTGCAATAAATTTTTACTTTTGTGTGAGCATTAAATCCGGTTGGCTTCCAAAAATTTGTACATTTAATGTGGACTGTTGATTAAATGTGGTACCGGATTGGCATTGTATTCTTGCCATTTAATGTGACCGTAGTAATAAATTTTGTACATTTAATGTGGACTACGGTTTAGATGCCCAGATCTTGGTTAAATTTTGTACATTAAATGTACATTAATCTACTTTTGTGACCGTAGTTATATTCCAAAAATTGGCTTCAAATAAATTTCGTCGATGCTCAATGTGACCGTAGTTATATTCCAAAAATAATGTATTCTTGCCATTTAATTGTATTAATCTACTTTTGTGACCGTAGTAATTTTATGAACATTATTAGAATATTAATTTTGTGTGTGCATTTCATAAATAAAGTAGATTAATTTTGTGGAATATAATCAGAGTCCTACCTTGGAATGTGGAATGTGGAATGAAATGAAATGAAATATTATCAGAGTCCTACCTTGGAATGTGGAATGTATTTTCATGGTTTCCAAAAATAAAGTAGATTAATTTTGTGACCGTAGTTATAACTCCTAATGTAATTTTGTAATAATATAACTTTATTTTGTGACCGTAAAATCGTTTTTTTCAAAAATTGTTTTTTTCAAAAATAAATTACACCACTCAGAATTTTTTACTAATTTGATTTGAGCACTCAAAATGTCAAAATTGATTTTGACCTCTTAGATTTTTACCTATAAAAAGGCCAACAGTTTAAGTTTTTCAAATCACACTCACAACTCAATCACTTACAATTACAATCACAAACAATATGAATTCTGGAGATTACAACTCCATAAATCTTGATGAAGTTGAATTCGTCATCGACGAAACACAAAGTGATCCATTCCAGGATCATAGTTCATATGTAGAGTTTGAAGACATTTCAACCGATTTCGGTAATCCGGAAGGAGGTTTTGCTAGTAGAGAGGACATGGATGCTCATGTAAGATATGTTGCTGGCTTGAGGAACGTTACTTTGGCAATTCGTGATTCGAAGGGAAAAGACGGCCGACGGCCCAAAGTTCGATATTTATGTAGCCAAGGTGGCGGATACAGACCAAAAAAGGTTACTGGAACTAGGTCCACTAAAACGACAAAAAATAATTGTCCATTTTGGTTGGACGGAATGGAGCACCCTGGAGGGCGCTGGTACTTTGAAGTCCGGGAGGGGAGACACAACCATCCGTTCCTGTCTCATGCTGTGGGATCTCGTTTAGGTAAAATATCCCCTATTCAACTTGAAGTTATTAGGGAGCAAGAGAATTTTAATTTAAGCCCGAGTAATATGTTGGCGTCCATGAAAAGGGCTGATCCGGAGAACAAATCGTGTCAGAAACAAGTTTACAATGCTGTCAGTAAGGTGCGTGCCCAGAAAAGAGAAGGTCGGACCCCGATGAATAATTTCATCCATTTACTCAGGCAATTGAACTACATGTACGACGTTCGGACTGCTGATGAATCTTCCGAACTTGGAGATATTGTTTTCTGCCACCCGGCTTCTTTTGTGATGGTGAATGCATATCCGGAAGTCATGATGATTGATTGTACGTACAACACCAATGAGTATGACATACCTCTACTAGAAGTGGTCGGTGCAACAAGTACGGACAAAACGTTCACTATCGCCTACGCATTCATGCGAAATGAGAGACAAGAAAACTACAGGTTTGTGTCTTAATGAATTTTAATTTTTTTTCATATGTTTAAATTTAAAATTGTTAATTAACATTATTTAGTACAATTGTTTGTCAATGTTATGAATAATGTTAAATTGAATATTTAGGAGGAGTTAATATTGTTATGAACATTATTAGTATTGTTTAATTAGGAGTTATTATTTTTATGAACATTATTAGAATTGTTTAATTAGGAGGAGTTATTATTTTTATGAACATTATTAGAATTGTTTAATTAGGAGGAGTTATTATTTTTATGAACATTATTAGAATTGTTTAATTAGGAGGAGTTATTATTTTTATGAACATTATTAGAATTGTTGAATTAGGAGTTATTATTTTTATTGGAACATTATTAGTATTGTTTAATTAGGAGTTATTATTTTTATGAACATTATTAGAATTGTTGAATTAGGAGTTATTATTTTTATTGGAACATTATTAGTATTGTTTAATTAGGAGTTATTATTTTTATGAACATTATTAGAATTGTTTAATTAGGAGTTATTATTTTTATTGAACATTATTAGTATTGTTTAATTAGGAGTTATTATTTTTATGAACATTATTAGAATTGTTTAATTAGGAGTTATTATTTTTATTGAACATTATTAGTATTGTATAATTAGGAGTTATTATTTTTATGAACATTATTATATTGTTATTTTTTTATTGTTATATTGTTTAATTAGAACTTATTATAGTATTATTAGGAGTTGTTACTGTTATGAAAATTATTATATTGTTTAATTAGGACTTATTATAGTATTATTATTGTTATTAACATTGTTATTGTAGTATTGTCATTAATATTGTTATTATGTTAATTTGTTGTTATAAATTACAATTGACAATTATTTAGTACAGTTATTTTGTCCTACGTTTAAATTTAAAATTATTAATGTTATATTATTTTGCAGGTTTGTGTTACAGTTTATCCGTACTTTGTTCGTTAGCCAAGTGACACCTAATGTCATTGTAACCGACCGAGATTACGCCTTGATGCATGCTGTCGAGTATGTTTTCCAGGAATCCAGGCATCATTTGTGTCGCCGTCACATTGAGCAATGCGTGCTACAACGAGCACTGCAGCAACCTGGTTTTTTAAAAGAGGCGGCAGAAGGATTTAAATTTCGTTGGAATTGGGCGATAAGTGCACCGACCATAGATGACTTTAATGATAGATGGGTACGTCTGGCAGCACATTACTCGAATTGGGGAGCATTGCTGCATTGACACATGGATTAGTCCGTATTCCCAAAAAATCCTGTCAGCTTTCATCGACCATTATTTTCACTTCGGAAGCTACACAACAAATAGGCAAGCCTTGTGAGATTTACGTGACTAAATAATCGTTACATGTAGTCAACATTAATAATTAATATTCAAGTTCAATTGGTAATGCAGGGTCGAAGGAGAACATCATCGCGTCAAACGACATTTAGATGGTGGTCGGTACCCATTCGATACCGTACTGGAGAAACTTCACAAGGTGATGGAAGGCCAAATCAACACAGACACCCTTGGAGATACGTTGTTTGTTAATCTGAACAGATCAATCACGTTTAAAGCATTCGGCCTCATAAGGAAAGAAATGCAAGTTTTACAAGAAATGGGTCAGGATCCAACAACGTGTGGTTGCTACCTAAGGAGAACTCATGGTCTACCGTGCGCACATGAGCTTCAGTACTACATCATAAATGGGTATAGCATTCCGTTGGATCAAATACATGATTATTGGAAAAAGTTAGATATTCAGTTTCCAATATTTCCTAATGATGCCGCGGATGGATCCCCGACTCCACCAAATCCAGTGAGGAGGGCGTTGTTCGAAGAAGTCCCTGATATTACTGCACCTCCTACTGCTAAAAAGAAAACCAAGGGTAAAAAGCTCTCTAGTCTCCGTGTACCTTCGGCGTGGGAGAGGGTTGTGAAACAGTACGGATTTAAAAAGTCTCCAAACAAAAAGGTAATACTACATAACTTATGAATTTCTATATTTGAAAATTATGATTTATATTAGTTACTAATTTATTATTCTCAATTTAACATTGTCAACCTATGCATTTGTAAAGGGCCCTGGACGTGTTGCTTCTATCTCTGCATCACAGGGGAGTCCAATGAGCACATCCCAACGTACGGGGCCACCAGTATCACCATCTTCTCCAAATCCTCCGTGCTCAAGGCCTCCAATGTCAACCCCTTCTTCCAAAGGCACCACGTTCATCTTTAAGAATTCTGTATTTGAGAGAGAATTCCCGCCCTACATTAGAAAATACATAGATCAATGCACAGATGTAGCGGCAGACGGAAATTGTGGATTTAGAGCGGTGGCTCTAGCAATTTACGGAACAGAAGATGATTGGGTTAAAGTTAGACAAGACTTAGTAGCAGATCTACAGAATAGAAGCGCCTTGTACGCTCGAATCTTAGGTGGGAGGAGTGCGAGGAGTTCTAATGTGACTAATCTCATCCAATCGATTGCTCACTACCATGGACCAGCGGATGATGATTACTGGATGGCGGTACCGGATTGCGGTCACGTAATTGCAACAACATATAATGTTGTTTTCATGACATTCAGTGAACATGGAGGAAATACTTGTCTGCCAGCGATATTAGATGAAACACAAGGACCTCCAACCCGAAAGGTGGTGTGCGGACATCTTAGCAATGATCATTGGATTTTGGTAAGAAAATTACACTAGTCGACGATCATATAAACAAGTTGAATTTTAACTTTAATTTTTTATATAAGAATATAACTTCAATATTTGTACATTTTTTTCCAGTTGCATATGAAACCAGGGGATCATCCGGTACCACCCATAGCATTTTACTGGAACGACCATCACGACAAATCTGCAGATGGTTTAGATGCACAATTTGCATTCTCGATCAGTCACTTTAACCGTCTCCACAATGAAGATGGAGAACGTCGAGCATCAACAAGAAGAAGAAAGAACAATTAATTAGGATCGAAAAAAAAATTGATGTATTTCGTTGAGTAGATTAATACTTTGATTTTCTAATAAATTTTATTATTATCCTTCATTATAGTCTAACACTTCAAACATTTCAAACACTTAAACAAATTTTATTAACGATTTTAAAAATTCAAATTATATTAAAATTAAACCAACATTTATATATGTTCTAAAAAAAATTAATTTTTTTAATAACACTTCAATGATTTTTTATGACCCACGGATTATAATGGATTAATTTTTTTTATAACACTTCAATGATTTTTTTAATAACACTTAAAAAAAAAATTTATGACCCACGGATTATAAACCGACACGGATTATAGTCTAACACGGATTTTAAATACACAATTAAAATGGAATTAGTTAATATAACAAAATAAAAAAAATTTATAACCCACCGGACTGTTTTTTTATTAATATCGCTAAAAATAAATTTAATTGTTTTTTTATTAATCTAACACGGAATTAGTCTCCATGACCTTAATGAGAAGTCTCCATTTTTGTCCAACACCTTGTTTTTTTGAAACAGTTAAATTGACCTTGTTATTTTATTAGTCTAACACGGAAAACAAGGTCAATTAAACAAAAAGGATTGTGGACTCAGAATTAATGAACCGAATTAATGAACCTTAATGAGAAGCATTTAATGGTTGATGTAAGCTTAATTAACAATAAAGGGCAATTTCGTCCATCCACCACCCAAAGTTACTGTTTGGGAGTGGATATAGTTGGACCCGTTTAAACCTTGGTTAATGATTGGGTACTGGTGAGAAACACGTGCAAGTCACGTGGTAATAATAGGGGTAATTTGGGTTGTTGGATTATTAATTGAACAGATTTTGACCAAAAGTGATACTTTGCAAAGAAATACTACCTATAAGGTGGTTCCTATCAAAATAAAACTTTAAAGGTGATTGACATATATTTTGTAAAACTATGAGGTGGTTTCCATGAAAAAACCCTAATACTTAATATTTTTTTATTGTTCTTAATAATCACTAAATTTGAGCAAACCTTCACGAATAATTTATTCACTTGTCTGTATTATATGAGTTGTTGTCTCCCTCCTTTTTGGTTTTGAGTCCTTTTATTTAAGGGTCGATCGCACATACCCCACCTCCCCCCTAAGTATTGTTGCTTTGTGTATGCTACACTTACAGTTTCACTGTTGCAAACGAACCCTTGGATTATAAAATACTTTATCCTCGTATATACTCACTAAGGGGCTGTTTGGATGCCTTTAGGAAGCTAGAGTATTTATGACACAAAATAGAAAGTGGTTATCCACCTCATCACTTTTCATTCGAGTGTTTACATTGTTTGGTTATGAATCTTTGTGAATCCTAAAATAATAGTATTACATTGTTTGGATAGTATAATGTAAACTAGAGTATTTATGACACAAAATGGAAAGTGATTATCCACCTCACCACTTTCTACAAGGTTTTGAATTTATTATTATTATTTTGGACATATTTATAACATTGTGTAAGCTTTCCAACAAAATCACTCCTAATTTTGATGATTTTGCTTTCGGTGACACCTCATCAAAAGATGTAAGCTTTTCATGTAAAAGAGAATTTAAACAAACAATGTAAAGTGATGAAAGCTAACATTGAGACCCACTTTTTTACACTTTCCATCATTTTACATGGTAAAAACATACAACCAAACGGCCCCTAATTTCATACAGAGACAATATCTACCAAAATTTCAACAAAAGTAAAAGAACTAGAAGAATTTAACCTAGGGAGTCTATATGCAGCAATTAAACTTCAATGGTAGTAAGTTCAAGGGCAGGGCCGGTCCTGAGCATTCGGGGGCCCTAGGCAAAAACTTGAACAAAAATCTTAAAGGGGCTCTCCTATAATCAAGATTTTTTTAAAAAAAATAAAGTGTTGCACCTAAGTAACTTTAGGGATGCCTACATAAAAAATTATATACAAATACTAAAATACATAATATCAACAAATATTATAATTTATAAAGTTATAAAATTACCTTAAAATTTGAATAGTTTAACTTCAAACAAATTTCAGATCAACACGCCTGAATCCTAAAAGATGCACTTTTATCTCTTCTTCCTATTCAATAGACAAAAACAAAGTTTGGACTTAAAGATTTTTTTGGGACACGATGCAATCATTTGAAGTATGGATCACTAGCTACTGATTTTCATTGTTCAGGTACCGCACTTTTATACAGCCTGTATGCTGCATATTATGGTTTCTGTTTTCAATTGATTAATCACTAATCAGCAAATATACTAAGTATAGTCTGATTCATAATTTCATATATGTTATGCACAGATTCATAATATATGTTATGCACAGATTCATACTTTGTTTATACAACTAATTCATGTATGTTAATAATGTTATGCACAGATTCGTGCTGTATAGAATCAATAACAAAGCAAAAGTATTATTAGGTCATGAAGTGATGAAACAAAGATATTATGCTATTCTAAGTATAGTCTGTTATCTGTATAGAATTATAGAAATATTCAATTATTCAAATATACTTATATACCTTGTAACCTTGACGGAGTCGCCGGCCAGAGGAGGCGCAGATTGCAGACAGAGACAGAGTCTCCAAAGGGCAAAGGCGCTGGCGGCGAGGTCGCGTTTGCCTTGCGGGTGGGAGGGGCGGAGGGAGTCTCCGGAGACGGCGTCGGTTGGAGTTTGAGCTGTAGACACGCTGACTGCTCGCGGAAGGAGCAGGAAATGGCAGACGGTCCGGACGGAGTCGGGAAGAAGAAACATCACTTCAGAGAGAATGCAGAGAAGAAGAAGAGAGGTCGCGATCAGCGGCCACTTCGGAAATCGAGAGACCAAGGTTTTTCGTTTTTGTATTTATAGCCTCTAACACTTTTGCATAAAAATCCTCTTACTTTTCCAATTTCATATATATATATATATATATATATATATATATATATATATATATATATATATATATATATATATATATATAATAAATATAATATATATATATATATATATATATATATATATATATATATATATATAATATTATATATATATATATATATATATATACATAAGGGGCCCCTGTTTTTTGGGGGCCCTAGGCGCAGGCCTCTCCCGCCTGCCCCTAGGGCCGGCCCTGTTCAAGGTTCAGTTTGACAAACTTATTGAATTAGTTTTAGTTGAAGGAAGTTTGGCCCAATAGTCTAGTCCTAGTTTGGCAAAAAAGAAAGTTTAACCTAAATTTGGGGCGGCGTGGGCGCGGTCGAGCCCGATCAATGACCCGTCCCGATCGTTTTCTAGCTGGGTCAGGCCCGACCCAGACCTTGACGGGCCTGAACAGACAAGACCTACGGCTTTATGCTTAAGTTTAGGACTGGACTTAGCCTGACTCATAACTTGCCTTGCCAAGGACGGAACCAAACCCGACCCACATTTGATTAGAGCGTGGGACAGCCCACAAGATTTTTTTTACCATATTTTATTTTTTTTTCATTATTTTTTATTTTATCTATAGTCTTATTTGACCCTTTGCCACCTGACCAATCAGTAAAACTCGCAACATTTATAATTTCACGATCTCAACACATGTCAGGAAAAGGCTACGGCTTGTCTGGTTCAATTTTTGAAATGGACACCATTTTCAAATTTATATTTTGGTTTAGTGTAATCAGAGCTAGTAACAAATCATGCAATCAAGTTTTATACTTTTTAATGCTTTGTTGAATGGAATTATACTAATTTCTTGAAAATTGATAAAATTTAATAATGTATTATCATTGAGTTAGTATATTTCAATTAACAAATTGTAAATAGTTTTAAAATGCAACTAAATTTTGATTTGTATAAATAACTAACTAAATATTGCATTATATATGCACTTTATGTGTAATAATAACATGATAATTCCTTAAGGTCATTTTAATTTAGGTTTATGTATTCAGAGAAAACTAATAAATGTAAGGAAAAGTAATTAGTGGTAGTATACTTGTATTTATAGCATTTGACATAATTGTTTTTTAATATAGAATTCGGGTTGGACCGAAGCGAGTAGTGGGCAGGACAAGCGAGTAGTGGGCGGGGTCTACTTCTTTGACCACGAGCTTAGAGGAAAACTCAACTTGACCCATGGCCCAATTGAATTGTGAACCGGGTTGGACCCGACCCAACCAGTCAGGCCAGGCCTTGAATCATGGCCCGCTAGGGTCAAATTGGCCTATGCCCACCCATGGCCTAAATTAGTTTTTGGGCTTTTGATATCTAATCCAAAAAAACCATGTACACCTCAGCATGAAATAGAACCGACGAGCTCTGGCCCTAAAAAGCTTTGCCAAATGAAAAAAAGAATGGCGTCAACCCACTTCTCCACTCTCTACTTTTCCTATTATTGTTCCTTCTCCTCCTCATTTCTTCTCAACATTTTAGACTAGTTATATTTGAAAATTAGCCAAACTAGATTTAACTTAAAAAATACACATAGAAACTAGTTTAGTGTAATCTAGACTACGGGTGTGTTTGGCAACCATTTAAAATTGGGTCAAAACTAAAACTAACCCATTTTTGAACGATTTCTTATTTGGCAAGGAACAAGGCTAAAACTGACCCAATTTTTGTAGACCAAAATTTGCCCCCTAAATCAGTTCTATTTTGGGCCACCTCACCCCTAGTCCAAAATAAAACTAGGGTAAAACTAGACTAGGACCAATCCTAGCCCAGTTTTATGTGGTTCGCCAAATAGACCATGAGTATAACTGGTCTAGAGCTAAAGTCTACATCCAATTTTTTTTGGAAAAAATGCTTCCAGCCCCCAAAAGCTAAGGAAACGTGCTTCCCACCCCCAAGACTTGGTCAATGGGTGTTTTACCCCCAAAAATAAAGATTTTGTTCTCTGAACCCACAAAACACAAAACCCAAGAGATTAAAATATGTGAAGACCATAATACCCTTCTCTCTCTCTCTCTTTCTTTTTTTATTAAAATATGATGATGATTATTTTATTATTTTTATTTTCTCTCTCTCTTTATCATAATGAACTAAGATGATAGTTGAAATGA